TTGTGGACAAACGAGGGGCGCGAAGTGCTATATGGCAGTACTTCGGCATAAAAACAAATGAGCAAGGAGAGGCATTTAACGTTGATGCGCCATTGTGTAAACGATGTTTTAAAACATGCATGGCTAAGGGCGGAAACACCCAGACCTGCACACTGAGTTCAGGGAACGACAGGTAATTTACTCATGACATGTGCCCTTTTCAAATGCAATAGTTCAATAGTTTTAAGTGTGCAACACATGATAAAGAGTTCTTATCAAACATAGAAATTTTTTTTCTAAATTTTAATAAAAAAATGTGTTTTTTCAAAACGTTAAATGTGGTTACAGCACAGTCGTTCAGTGTTTTACATACATATTTAGCCATTTAATATGTTATAAAGACTGGTAACATACCATTTAAAAACATTGGTCCTACTTAAGACAGGCTATATGTAATGAAAATATTTTTTTCTAAGTTAGAACTTCTAGCTTCATACTTTTTATTTACTCACACTGACTGTTCTAAAAAATTTTTTTTTGAGTGCAATAAGAAAAGCCTAGTATTTTGAATTTTATTTTGATGTTATTCTAAGATTTTCTATTAAAATAAAGTCAGTAATGACATTTTTTGCGTTCTCTTTTTATCTGAAAAACTATCCAAAAGTATCGAAATACATTTTGGTACCGGTACCGGTACCAAAATGTTGGTATCGTGACAACACTAGTACAACCTAATAGGCTGTGATGAAACTCAAAGCCATGTGCAAACAGTGACAGTAGTGCAAATAACAAGAAGAAGATTGTCAGGTGGTCAGCATCACCAGGAGCATTGGTGATGAGATGCATGATAGCTTATGAAATGTATATGGACAGTAGTGCAAATGACCAACAGCAGCAGATATGACGTAAAAAAAAAAAAACAGTCATCAGGAGATTCACATATAAAATGACAAAAAGGGGGAATGTATTGAGTTTGTGCAAACAGCGGGGGTGGTCTGTGTCTTTTATGTTCTGTGGTGGGTTACGGTCCGGGGGGTTGCAGTGCAACTCCAGTGTAACAGTAAACCAAGAGTGTCAAGTCAGATCTCTCCGAAAGCACCCGCACTCTGAGACACACATCATCGTCAAACATTCAAACTGATAATGAATTGTGAATGTCAACAGGGCTCAAGGTGAATCGACTGGACATGTATGGTGAGAAGTATAAACCTTTCAAAGGCATCAAGTACATGACGAAGGCTGGAAAGTTCCAGGTGCGGACATGAAGACTGGGGGACCACTAGACCAAGCCACCACAAGACTGAGGGGGGATGTGATGGGGAAAGTGGAGCTGGTATATTCCCTTTCTATATGCATTTCAGGATTTACCTACACAATAAGGAGACTCCTTGTAGCAGTTAAGAATGGACCATTTCACATAGAGATCTCAGACGTCCAGATGTCCAGGGAACAGGTTAGTGCTTTTTGATTCTGCAGTCTGAACTCAAGTGTAATAAAACATTTCTATCTTGATCCAGGCTGAACCTCACTAGTCCCAGTACATATTTCTCCTGATACACACTCTTAGCACCATTACTGATCATTTTCATCCCCTGCCCAAACCAAACAGTTGCATGTGGGGTTTGTTCCAGTCTGTGTTAGTTCAGGCTCCACCAAGTTCAGATGTAATTCTTAAACAAACAGTACAGTAGCCTTTGGGTTTTGGAAGTATTCAGAATCTGTTGAAATCCCCTGGCCTATGATGTTTGTCCACATAGGTGTATGTGGGTTACTGAAACTTGACTCCAAGCAAGAGATATTGGATATCGAATCTAAAATGGAACAAAAACACCCCAAGTAATAAACTGTAGTGATAGTGGGAGTTTTATAATATGACAGAAGTTTATTGTTTTACCATTGTTGAAGAACCACTGCAGCTTTGTCCTGCAGCACAGTAGTACATTAAACTACATACCTCAAAGAGAATCTAGTGGCAGTTGGCTGTGTGGAAGTGCTGTAACAGCTTATACCTGCTACATCTCATATTTTATGGACCAGAGCTCCTACAGTCACCTATGCTCCAAAGAGTCCCCATTGTGAAATGCTGAAGTGCTAGTGAAAGTGATCACTGTATTTCCTATCCTCCTGTCCAGTTTTTTCTTTTCCAGCATTGATGTGTTTTCTGTTTGTTCTGCTGTTGTGTTCCTCTTCACCTCGTTGCAATAATATGTATGATGAGTTTGTCTGCAGGACTGAAGTCGGCATACTCACATATGAAAATACACTGGAGCCGTCCTCGGTCCTGCATTTTCACCTCTGCTGGTACCAACATTTTCTTTTAATGCAAGTGCGTTGAACGTAGAGTTTCTAACACTGAGTTCTTTATTACTATGAAGGATTCTGGGAAAATTTGAGGTATGTTTGTCTGTTTTTAACTATTATTTATTAAAAAGGAAAGTAATGTTGTCTGTCTATTATGACCACTTGGTCTATGGTCAGTTTCCCCATTAAGTTTTGTTTTCAGCATGTAGGAAAATGTGTCTGATCTGTTCAGTTTGGTGCTTAACGCTGATCCAAATGCTCCAGAAATGTTCTTGCGGTGCGTCACGACCCTTACAGTCAGAGAAACTGCCTATTGTGCATTTAATATGTATTTGCATACATCAAGTAAACACAACATTATCAGTGTCACCATGACAACTGGGGCTGCCCTGGAAAAACCAGCACAGGAGTTAATGTGGTACACACTGTGCATCCCTCTGAGTCTCTGCTGAAGCCACCCACCCACCATCATGTTCAGGCCTCTCACAGTTTGCTAAAAATATATTGTGTTAACAACTCAAAATAAAAAGAACATAATAAACTATTTGTATTGCTGCAATGGTGAGGTACCCCCAGAAGAAGTGTTGAAGGTCTGCATTTTGTTTTTACATAACTGTGCTTGTTAACAGCCTCCAATGGAGTGTTGCAATGGTGACAATAATGATTTGATGTGTTTTAACCAAGTGATGACGTTAATCATTGACTGTATATTATTCCGTGATGTTAAATTTTGTGTTAACCAATCATCACCTTTGAAAATGATTACTTCTGTTAATTTCCTTTCCAAATGTTTAAACAAGTCTTGAAGTTACACTTTGGGTGAATATTTTTAATAGCATTTTAAGGTGTATTGCTGCAATATTTTGGGTATACTAATGTTACTTCCCCTTTGTCATAAAGACTATAGGGTTGCTTATCATACTGTAGCTATGCGCATGACACCCAGGGCTGTCTAGTGTTCTCACCAAATGACTGTGGTCCACGGGCCTGTTCAAGATTCAAGATTTTTATTTGCCATTTATGCATAAACAGGCAGTCTAGGCATATAGGATTTTTGTTGTGTCTGTGCCTTAAGAAAGTGGACAGCTGGCTGCAACAAAACGTCCTTCAACTGAGTAAAAATGAGACAGAATTTTTTTTTTGACAATAAAGACAGAAGGCTGGTGCTCCGTGCTTACCTTACACCCAGTGCCCTAAAAATAACACTAGTGATGGGTAGATGAGGCGTCATGAAGCGTTTCGACACATTGCCAAACTGTATTGATACTGTGTCGATACTGTGTCACTGAATACTGGCACCTGTTGGACCTTAAAAATCCCTACAGGCAATCTAGATGACAGACTCAACTGACACTGACTTGATGACCTAGTATATACAATAATATAATTTAAGTCATTGTATTTTATATTGTATTATTTCATATCTTCATTTAAATTTAAAATTCCCTTGATATTTTTAGATACAGTCAGTAAATAATGTGAACATGTATCATAACGTGAAAATCTAAATGAACGTGTTGTGAATGAGGATGCTTGTGGACTGGGATTTTTTTTTTTTTATAAATTTTTATTCAAAAAAATAAGTTTTTCCAACGTTTTGAAATTGAGTCTGTTACGCTTATCCAGCTGTAGAAAACACCCACTCACACGGCACAGATGAGGCTGGAGTGCAGAGAAATTGTAAGGCAAGTCGGAAGAGGTTTGGATAGATTGCCTACTGATGGGTCCGGCAACACCGATGCGTCGCCACATGCGTCGAGCTCGTAGAGCAAAACCCCGTGTCGGTGCGCGTATCGCTTTAAGAAAGTCACGTGACCGATACACGAACTGTTTCGAACTGACACTGCCGCGCCAAACTGTGTTTATAAGGAAGCGCATATGTCAACGGGATGCATCTGCCAAAACGAATCTCTGATCTATTGCGGTTCATCGTCACATTCATCAAGAATTATGGAGCAGCCTCAAGCCAAAAGAAAGGTTTCCGCCGTGTGGGACCATTTTGATCTCATATCGGAAAATAAGGTATTGCCAGGTCCCAGGATCCTTCTTAAAGCGATACGCGCACCGACACGGGGTTTTGCTCTACGAGCTCGACGCATGTGGCGACGCATCGGTGTTGCCAGACCCATCACTAAATAACACCTGTGTCGGGAATCTTGGTGTAATATTTGATGAGGGTTTAAGTTTCAGTGGTCGCATCAAAGCTGTAACAAAATCATTATTGTGGCATCTTAAAACCATAGCTACTGTAAATACTGTAATGCACTCCCAGTTGGCCTAGCCAACAAGACTATGAGACATTACTCCAGTCCTTAGATCCCTGCACTGGCTTCCAGCCAAGTAAGAATTGAGTTCAAGGCCCTACTGTACTTATTGTCTACCCTGTCTCACTGGTCTGAGTACAAACCTGGTTAGTGCGTCCGATCTGCAGGGACTGGTCAGCTAGTGGTGCCCAGAGTTCAGACTAAACATGGAGAAATGGCCTGTTGTCATCTGCATTTTCTCTTGCATCTTTTTGTCTCTCTTCTTTTAATTCAGCATTAATTTTAATGGTTTTATATATGCATCATATAAAGCACTTTGAATTATCTTTGTGTATGAAAATGCACTAACTTGTGAGCCTGTTGATGTGTAACTTATACTTTATAGAGTCATGGTGAGATGTTTTATCAAATGTTTTCATGTCAAAGAATCACAAGTGGATGCACAGTGGTCTGCATTTTAATTATATTTAGCATCATAACTACCAAAGCTGCTTATATGCAGACAGATTGGAGCCATGGCTGATGACTGACAAGATAGTTTTGTCAGCAGAATAGACATTTCATAATTTAATATTAAATAAAGTTTGACATAGATTGGTCACAAATTAGTCTAACAATTATTATATTTTCTGTCAGGTTTTCTATCTGTTGCCCAACACCGTGTAATCT